GTAATGTTTGTGCATTTAGAGTCTCTCATATTAACCAACATGTCACGCAATTGAATCACATTTTCCCAACTTAGACCAATAAACGCTTTAATTCGCTCTTTGCCAATCTTGACTGTTAGTTGTTGGTCAGCTAACACGCACATCAACTTAAACATTTTTGATAAATTATGTACTGCAACTAAACATGAACTTGATACAAATCTTATTTTATACATTTTATCGTTATGACACTTTTTATTGAGAATGTGATCATTGCAACAGTGATTACTTTTGAGAATCCTTGATTCAGAGAAAACTTGTTTTCGAGCAATCAATGGTATTTGGATCAAATAAGAATATTTCCCTCATATAAATTAGTATCAATTAGGTGCAATTAGCTTTGGAAGTAGTAATTCAACTTTTTAACTTCTTTCAACTGTTTTGAAACGGAAGAAGCATACACTAAACCATCACTACAACTTGACTATGGAGATAATGAACTAGGCTCTTATTCTTGACTTAGAAGATTACTATAATTTGGTTGCTTTTTATCCATTTCTAGTTTTATTTACTTAGATAATTTTAAACGAATAGACGTTTAACATTTTGGGCAAATCAAATCATTATTCACAGCATTTTCTTAAAATTAATCCAACAGTAGATTTGCCAGTTCTTCTGTATCCACTATTCAGTTGTACCTCTAATAAAATGTTTATTTTAAATTTGACGAGCCACACATTTGTTTGCCATTGAGTTTTCTTAAACGTACATGATAACTCAAAAAAAATTTAAAAATGTTCAAACAAAAAATTAAACATCATAAAAGTTTTAAATTACATTAAACTATATGTTTATCTACTGACACATTTTATTTTATCGTAGTACAGTGATTAGAAAAAAATTTATTTATTTGTAGATTTTTTTTATTTAATATAAGAAAATAAGACTTTTAAATAGTTATTTTAATTTTCTTATGATAACAAACTTTAAGTACAGTATAATTATGAACAACTAAACATAGAGTAAGTAAATCATAATCTTATGTAGACAGCGTATAGGTATTCAAAGATTAATACAATACACACTATGGAACATTTACATAGCTACATGGGTTACATAAATAATGATTGAATTTGTATTTTTAATATTTCTTTATATTTAGTTTTTGTCAAGATTCCGAATAATGATCAAACGAAACGATCTAGCTAAAAGACAAATTCATCAAATTATTAAATGTTTACTTCACTAAAACCAGACTTGTTGATTAATATACTAATAAACGACTTACAAGTGCATATTTATTAAGAAAGAAGAATTTTTACGCTTAAAAATGTTATTTTTTACCGTAACTTACTGTACTGGACATTTCGTACATTTTTACTTTTATTTTCAGTACAAAGAAATATATTTATTTCTTATTTTTATCACAAATTTCACCAATGGAATAGGTTGTTAAAAAAAAACAAAAATAAATGGATTAGAAGAAGAGAAAAAAATGTAAGAACATATGTATATAACATTTGATCTCTTAAAACCAATAATTAATTAACTACTAATGCTTATTTATATGTGTTCTTAAAAAACATTTAAGTCATATATCTAACATATAATGCAGTATTAAATTGATTGTATTGATAAACAGTTCTTATGTTACTTATGTAGCATATTTTGTAATAGTTTTAAAAACAACAATTTTCAACAAGTTTTTGAGGTTAGAAAACTACATTACGTCATTATTAATACTTAAACTACTTTTTGTTACATGTATATTATCATTAAAAAAACTCAAACGATGAATCCAGATAAAATAAATCCCTAATATTTCATTTAATAAGGTTATATTAGGCTTATGAGATTGCTTAATTTTTACACATTGATTATGAAGATCTGACTTAATCAGTTTTCTTACTGCAACAATCAATAATTATATCTGTTTTGGTCAAAAAAAGGTCCTATTGCACTATACCCTTCTCTCATCGGCCTCTTCTGTAAGCTTACGTGAGTGCCGACGGTGGCCTAGCACTAATCGCCCTTGTACAGTATATCTCCTCAGCATGTAGATGACAAAACGTAGTTAAGGAATGAGGAACATAAATTGAAATATTATATAATGAAAGTATTTAGTTGCATACATTTTCTTAACTTATCCTTTGCTCGTACCTGTTCCTTAAACTGATATTCTGCGTACACTCAATTGTGTTTGCAGTTACATTTCACAGTGGCAAGAGAGAAGAAGGAGAGAGTGGTGGCGGGAGTCAAGTGCTTGGCTTGATTTTAGTGTCTTTGGCGATTTCTGTGTTAGGAGGACGCCGTGCCTTTTTATCTTACTGGGCCATCTGCGTGTGGTGAGATCAAGGGAACATTTCTTTTAGAGCGCGTGGTTTTACCTCTTGTGCGATGTAAGTATGTTCATTCAAAACCTCTGATTGTAATTTCGAATAAGGACTTTTTAATGCACCCAACAACGTATGTCGTGAATCATTGCCCTGAACCTAGTCTGCTCCTGATCGAGCAAGCTCTGCCGAGCTGCTGTATTTATGATCATGGTCCTTTGAGCTGTATCTGGGGCGCTTGGACGCTTGGTGCATAAAAAAAGGGCATGTTTCGCTGCTCGTAATTTCAGACTCAAGCGTCTCTTTTTGTACTTTCTTTTTTGCTGATATTCACGTTTTGAACCTCTCTGACAATGGAAAAGGGTAGCACGTCAGATCGGGATGTACATCTTCGCAACGATGAAAAGGCAGTCAATGACGTTCGCCTGCATCGGCCAAGAGAGAGCCTGCTTCGGCTGCTCGAATGAGTTTTTTGCCATGCGACAGTGTTCACCAAAGAGCACTCTATCTCGCCAGTTTTCGGTATCCGAAGTATCAATATGTTGGACATAAATTGGAATATGAGTAGCCATACTTGAGCCAATATGCTACGCAATACATAACCTAAAACGGTTTTTCACGCTATTTTTATCAATTAAATATTTAGACCTCACGTCATGCTCCGAGGGTCACAGCCCTGAGTCACGACCACTAGTTGCAACGCTGCTCCTCAATGCCAGTTACGCGGGGTACCCCACTGTTACCTACAAGATATTCAACTTTGCCTTACACAGACATGGAATCACTAGATTCTCAACTCGCCCTGAGCAAGGTGATCGAAAACTCATCAACGATTATTCAGAACACTCCACCTGATAAATAGAGTGAGGGACTCGTTTTCAGCCGACTTGAGCTCCTCGAAGGCTGTTGGGTGAGCTTCACAGATAATCACCTGAAGTGGCTGTTGGACAGCACTATCTAGAAGGAGTCCGACTTTGCTGATAACAAGTACTTTACGGTAGAAGTCTTTTATGTGGAAGCAAGGGGGCGACTGTATGACAAACGCGCGCTATTTGCTCGTATGCACCAGACAGCTCTCGAGTCGAATCCCACGCGTGACATCTGTAGGTTGCCGAAGATCACCCTACCCACCTCCAACGGATGACGAGAGAACCGGAAGGCGTTTAGAGATCTGTCCAAATTCCTTATTAACGGAAATGAGTAGTTATCACCTGTAGACAAGCTGTATTATCTCAAAACGAGTGTGCTTGGAGAGGCCAAGTTGGCACTTGACAGCCTGCAAATCACTGGTCAAAATAAAGGTATTGCTTGGTTTACTTTAGAGTCACGCTACGATCACAGACGTCAGTTGGCCCAAGAAAATCTCAAATCGCTCAGGTCGATGTATTCCTTCAGAGAAGAGTCGGCCGCAGGACTCCAAACTTGGCTCGATGACCTGGAGTAGCATCATGATCAGCTGAGAGCCCTCAAATGCCTTGTCAACCAATGGGGCGATTGGTTGGTCTCTCTCTCTCTGCTGACGTTATGGATGGAACTACTAGGCGAATTTAGGAAGCAGAGCTTGAGACCCTCGACAAAGAATCACGAGCGACTGGGCATGTGCACCCCTAATTCAAAATTTTTACGACGTTGATGTCGGATACTCTCCTCCCTAGCTCCAAATAAACTACCTAAGCTGACAGTGGCTCATCAAAGAAGCGATAGTGGTCCAAACACGACTTCTCATTAATTTTGTACGGTAGCTGCCACCACCGAAGCAGTCCACTGCGCAATATGCGAGGGCTATCTCTATACCGGTCTCTGCTCCACGTACAAGCAGAAGCCAATAAAGGATCGACAGCGCCTGGTCTCACAAAGGCGACAGTGTTACAACTGCCTTCGAGAGGGACACTAAGTCAGTCGCTGCCCTTCTCCAATGACGTATCAGGGATGTGGGGCACAACATCTCACTACAGTTCATGATGCTTTGGGAAAGCGCTCCACCTCCTTGTGTAGCTCCGATTTACAGGCCAAGCGACCGAAGCAAGATACACAGGACAAATTCTCTTCTGGCTCAGCTAAAGAAGAGTCATTCTGACTAGGCCTCTTGCCCAGTGCAATAGTCGTGCTCTGCAGCCTGGGAGGACGACGGGGGAAAGTTCGAGCTCTGCTCAACCTATGTTTAGAGTCAACGTTTGCCAGCTTGTCTACAGCTCGCAAGTGTGAAGACACCCTGAAAAGCTTCTCTGTTAGTGTCGTTAGAGTATCTAAAGGTGTAATCAGCTCCTTTGTTGCCCATACTCAACTCAGAATCGTAGCTGGTGGAAGTGGTAGCTGTGTCGACGTGTTTGTCTATGCCCTACAGCAGATTGATTAAACCACATCATTTAAGGAGCCAGGCATTGATCTTTACTCACGTTTTGTTGGCCTTAAGCTGGCTGATCCAACTTTCTCAATGCCCCAAACGGTAGAGCTAGTTCTGGCAGCTGAAATACTATAAGATATTCCTTTCTGACCTCATTTTCCGCGGCAGCTTTCTGACGCAGAGAACCATTTTTGGCTGAACCATTACTGGAGCATATAGTCAATCATTCACTCTGACGACTACGAGCCTCAGCACATAACTTAGGGATAAAGATACGTGCTGCGAACGTCTTCTCAGTCGACGCTGAGTGTGAGGACTGCTACGCCAAATACCGCACCCAATCCATGAGTGGCCGGTACCTTATTCTATTGCTCATCAAGACTGGTGGACTCTATCTCCTCGGTAACAGCTTGAATCAGGCCCAACGGGCCTTGGACGCCGTGCATAGACGAATGAGAAGTGACATGACGCTTCGCAGCCACTACACTGCTTTTATGTCCAAGTATCTCACGCTGGGACAAATGCGTTCTATTGCACCAGAGAAAATTAAGACTTGCTATCGTCAGATCAATTGCATACCTCATCACGTCATTTGGCAAGGAAGTGACAGTGGAAAGCGACTGAGCGTAGTGTTGAATGCGTCAACCCTGACTTTAACAGGCAACAGTTTAAATGACGCTCTTTACTCTGGCCCCAAGTTGCAAAATGATATTTCAAGCGTTATCACCCGATGGAGATGACATAGGGTTGCGTTCTTTCTCATAGGTAGTGATAGCCAGGAGTCAGCGAGAACCTGAAGAGATCAAATAATCCAGCTATTCAGGGTGAGTGATTTTAATTTGAAGAAGTGGGTGTCAAATACTCCCCAACTACTCGAAGATTTATGTACAGACGATCTACTCCACCCAAGCTGGATGCAATCTACCACCGACAGGCCCATCAGCGAATTGGGCATCGCTTGGAACCCCAACATAAGCACATCTCGATTCACCGCTCCCAAGCTAAGCGACGCCGAGACTCAAATGATGCGCACTCGCAGATGTGGCCGTTCTGGGCTAGATGATCATATAGAACTTATGGAGAGCGAAACTGAGTTTTGACAACAACCTCATCAGTGCCAAGACCAAGCTCACCCCCATCAAGAGCTTGGTTCCAGTTGAGCAATCAAGAACAAGGATGACCATTCCACGCTTAGAGCTTAGGGCCGCCTTGCTGGCCACGAAGCTGCTCAAGTCAAAGGCTGCTAGTCTGGATATACCAAGTAATTGGCACTATCTATGGAGCGATTCCAGCACCGCGCTAAGTTGGCTAAGTTCAGACAAACCAGTTGGCCACAGCTTAGTCAACAACTACATCGAGCAAATTTAAGAGATCACTTCTTGCAAGGTGTGACACGACGTGCCTAACGGAGAAAACCTGGTATCTCCGATAATCTGGCTGATATCGCGACTAGAGATGCTTTACAGTCAGAGCTCCAGCAGAATATGCTCTGGTGGCGCGTCCCTTCTTGGCTTGCGCTCGCTACCATTTTCTGACCAGCTCCACTTCACCAGACATGACCCTCGATCGCCCCAGCTGACCACAGAGAGGTGCCCCAAATCACCATGTGTTCAACTGCATTACAGGTCTGCTACGCGCCCATGAAAAAATTCTCAAGCTTGAGCCTACTTTTGTGAACCCTTATCAGATGCCATCACTTTGCACTCCTTGCCAAGAGTCGGACAGATTCCTGAAAGCCTCTTGCGTGGAAGCGCTGTATAGATTACTCTAGGCCTATAAGGCTCCACTCAAAGCTGACGAGATGCAGCGCGCATTTTGAGACTGCGTAAAGTTCAGCCAATCCCGTTATTTTGCTGCTGAGATTGACAGTTAAAGAAAGAAAATCCTAATTCTATCGTCAAGCTATCGCAACCACCTAGATGCATTTTTCAAAAACAACGATGTGCTTAGCGTTGGTGGACGTCTTTGACATTCTCCCTTGCCTCACGATGAGAAGCACCCTTCAATTCTCGATCGTGAGTGTCACATCTGACGCCTAGTCAGGGAATTAGCCCACTAGCGAGTGCTGCATGTAGGCTTACGTTCCACCTACAGCCATGCCGTACGTCGAACGTGGATCATCCGTGGCGAGGCCATAATAAAGAAGTGCGTCGTGTGTGTGAGTTGTGGTTCAGACTATAAGCCTATTTATGGGCTCTTTGCCAGCTGCTCGTGTGACACCGTCACCTTGGCCATTTAGCAAAACCAGTGTTGATTAAGCTGGGCCGTATAGAATTCTTTGATACAAGGGGCATGGCGTCTCGTCATTTAAAGGCTACATGGCCCTCTTTGTTTGCTTCTGCACAAAGGCCATTAACTTGGAGTTGGTTGGCGATCTTACCACGGCAAGCTTTCTTGGAGCTCTGTCTTGCTTTATCGACTGGCGAGAAAAGCCGAAAGGGATCTGGAGTGACAATGGAACAAAGTTTCATTGGACAGATCACGAGCTCCGAGGATTGGTGGAGGAAGCCAGGCACAACTGGAATTCAGTGGCTAAAAGTCTTGCTACAGACGGAATTAACTGAAATTTTATCCCTACTGCAGCTCCTCATTTTTGAGGCTTATGGGAGGTGGGAGTCAAATCCATGAAATCCATGATGGCTTCGTGCGAGCCGTAAAAATAAAGGTCGAAGGCAAAGAGTACACCTGACCGATCCTAAAGATTACTCTTCTTACCGTACTAGAAGCGCCGAATAAGGATCCTGCGGCTCATCACCAATTCTACGGCGGGCAGTGAGGCACCAATTACGCGAGAGGTGGATCAAGCTTAGAAAGGATATATTACCAACCTAAGAGTCGTTCCAGGGACGAAGCAGGCAGTATGTAGAGTTCGTGGCCTCCGTACACCAGAGTGCATCAATTGGAAACACATGGAACGAGCTGCGAGGCGGCCTCGAGAGCGGCAAGAAAGAAGAAGGAGAGAGTGGTTGCGGGAGTCAAGTGCTTGGCTTGGTTTTGGCTTCTTAAACGGTTTTCATGTTAGGAGGATGGTGTGCCTTTTTTTCTTGCTAATGCATCTGCGTATGGTGGGATCAAGACAACATTTTTTTTGGAGCATGTGGTTTCAACTTTTTGCGCGATGAAAGTATAATCATTGAAAGCCAATGATTGTTATCTTGAATGAAAACTTTTCAATGCACGCAACAACTTGTGTCGTAAATCATTACCCCGAACCGAGCCTGCTCCTGATCCATCAAGCTTTGCTGAGCTTCTGCATTTACAATCACCCATTATTTTCTACTATACAAATTGAACAAAGTTTTTTGTCTAGTTTCAGTCATCCTTATACAAGTTTTTTTTTAAATATACGTTGCTGACCATGTCTATCAGTTCGATGCATTGACCTTATAATATATCTGTGTAAATATGTATGTTCTACTATAAATTGACAACTTTGCGAAATGTGGACGTTTTTGCCAACTTGACTTGTTAGCGAACGAACATCGTTACGTCAAATATTTCCCTTCAGTGTTTGTAATTAAGGTATTATTATCGGTAGTACTTTATATCTATTAATCGTTGGTTTGAACTGATTTTCTAATAAATTTGTTAATAAAGCCGAAAGAGGTCAACACTCTAGTCAACAAAACGTCACTGTGTATAAAAAATACGCAGTGTGTGTGTTTTTTATTTTTAAAGTTTGCCCCAAAAGATCAACTGAAAAATGTTTAAATTCATACAAAAATGGAGTGTGAGAAACATTATAGTTACCATAACATTTCTTTCCATAGTTAATTTGAGGCACATTAAGGCCATTATAGCAAAAAAATAAGTAAATCGATTTTATTCTTTTTATCCCAGTTTCCAAATTTTAAAAAATCTCAAAAAATGCCCAGCAATAGAATGTAATATGATACAATTTACGAATTTTTTTTAATTCTGTACCGATAAAACTCTTGGAAATACGCCATTTCAAAAATTTCGAACGTTTCCCAAAATTTAAATACGGCGCCAAAAATTTCTAAAAATTCCCGTTTATATGAATTGTTTTTTTCTTTAACTTTTAATAAGAATTTTTGGGATTGGTTAAGAAATAGTGGAGACATCTTTAAAAAACCAAAATTCATTATTTAGGGCCTATAGCAAACTCATGAGTGGAATGGGGTCTAGCAAAATTAATAAAAATTTTCGTTTACAGTATACAACATACATAAATTTTTTCAGATTCTTTAGAGCTGAAGCAGTTTCACCTCTCTTATCCAGCTAGGCTCTTTAATCATCAACTAAGTGATATGTTATGTCTCATCTGACGATTTGATAAATTTAAAAAAGCCCAAAATAGTAAGTTATTTAAATTAAATAAGTTATTAAGTTTAAGATTCTCATTTACAGTGTTTATACATTTATTATTGTCTTAACTTAACAAACTTCTATGATCGTTGCTTAGACGCTGCTTGCCCCCGCAGTCGCAAGATCTTACAAGGTTGGCCGCGACAATGATCCTTATCCTACACAAGAGTACTCGTGGCTATGACAATAATAAGGCAACTGCTTTTGACGTTGGAGCCCAAGTCAACGGTCCTTTCTTTTTTGTTTCTCTTTAATACTTTTTTTAGGGAAGCTTACAATGGCTTGATATGGTTGAGCTTTTCTTACACAGCTTAATTATCGAACAAAGTCTTACATTTGCTCTAAATGCCTGCTTCTAACACGTAGCTTCATCACTGAACTAAGTCTTACATCTGCTTAAAAGTCACAATGCAACGTACTCTCCAACAATTATAGTTTCTTTAGAATACTTGATGGGAGACAAAAGGTGAATATTGTTACGTGCGAGGAGTTTCTATTCTTCAACACTTGAGGAGGGCGCATTATGTTAAGGATCCAAACGATCAATCATAGCTTTACCTTATTACTCTTGATTGACATGAGCACAGTGTTGGTGCAGTAATTACACAGGAACAAATGGTCAAAACTGCTGATCTTTTGAATTTTACAATAAGTACAAGTTGCTGTCAACATTGTGTACCATATCTCTTGTAGACATACGCAGTGAACAATGTCGAAATTGTTAATCAATAACATTATTGGGAGTACCACTGCGAATTAAAGTTGTAAGATAAGCTTTTTGTAAGATTGCTGGAGATTATATGGGTAGTTTGAGTTTTCTGGTAGTATATTGTTTTAGAAGGATTAAGTTATATATAAAGCGATTGCAGAATCAGGTGTACCACTCGAAGTTTGGAGATCACTGAGTTACTGCTTTTTGTAGTTGAAAAATAAGACTCTGTGTTTCTAAGTTACAAATATTAAGTATATGCCATGAGATGCCACACGCCTTCCTCAGCTGATTGCCGTCCTCAGCAATCATAAGATCGAAAACAGTTGAACTCATGTTAAGTACTTTTAATACAAACATATTCATTATGTATATATACATATACATATACATTTATATATATGATCG